CCAGAATCGAGAGTCTCAGAGGGTTAGTACGAAGAAAGTTATTTGATTTGATCTTATGTGTGGTTTGTATAGCCTCAGCTGAACCACAAAACAAAAGTTAAAGAAAAAAGGAAAAGTTAATTTTCTCTCAACAAAAATCGGAAAAAGTATACTGTACTTTGTCTGTCAAAAGTCTCCACTTAAAAAATAGGTTTAACATATTTATGTAAGTTTATATGAATGAAAGAACAATATAAGTGAATAAAATTAGATCACCATTATTGAAAATTAGGTGGATTATTGGGTCCGATTAATTGGAGATACTACTCGGATGTTTGCAAAATAAGTTAATGCATAACTGTGGTTTAGCTAGTAATTTCTTTGTTAATTTCGTCTCGTTCAACCATTTCTTACTTACAGAGTTTTTAAAATGTAGCAATTAATTTGTATATCGTATAAGATTACTTACGCTTGCTACTAAATAAGACAGTATTTAAGAAAACCAATCTCTATAACTTTTCTTTACATGCAATGTTGAAAAGGAAAACTAGTAATAACTTTGATTTACTATAGTATTTCTTAAACTACAAAATACGTTTTGGAGATTATGTGTAAAAAAAAACACACAGTTAACTATATGAATATTTTAGTGAAAAAAGAAAACTATATATATATTATATACATTCCTCCCCACTTACCCTTGGTAGTGATATATTATCGAGAATACGGAAAATGAAATTTTCATGAATGAATTATATAACATGTAATTCTAGAGAAAAACATCGTACAAGTTTTTAAAGAGTAATAATAATTTTAAATTCCAAAATAAGTATGGACCAGTGACGCGGAGGACAGGACAGTCCCACAATGATAAATTTTTCACATGGGTTAGAAAGATTTCCGCAATTGGCATGATAAAAAAAGTGGAAAGTATTTTAAATTATTATTATTAAATCTATACTAATTGGCATGATTTTGTGCAAAAATTGCCACAATTAATTACGATCATAACCAACACCCACGTGTCCTTTTGAGACCACATTTACTTTGTATTTATGTCGAGATAGCTGTCAAAG